TTCCTGTAAATTGATTAATAGTTAACACTAATTAATTAATATATTCTAGGTTGCTCTTTTGAATCATTAACACTAGCACAGTTTATAAAAATCCGATCATTAGAGCAAAACAGGATATTTTTCTTACTTAGCTTACTCTACGTTAAGCGTTCATACTAAAGATAGCTTAGAGCACACCTTGATATTTCAGTTCGCTGTTGCCAACGCGATAAAGAAATATCAACTGCTTGTTTTTCAATCTGCCTACTTATGTACGTAGTGTTTTATTTAGCAATAGGGGTCCCCGCACCAGGTCTCTGCTCCGAGCTCACTAATTGTATACTTGTTTCATTTAATTTAGCTGTGTATATATACTCATTTTAAAACTAAATTCTAAAAATATGCAATATATACATCCAGTGAAAATTTTGATTTTTATTCATTTCGGTACTACATTTCCGAGTGCAATTAAAAACCAATTACTACACTATCTGTTATTATATTATGAATTTACTACAAGAATAGCAATATATTACAATAATTAACTGTCTTATTTTGACAGCCGACCTAATTCTGAGATCAAGACTTTCCCTGCTCAAATCCGTAGCTTTGTAATTTTCAACCCAACCCAGAAGACAAGAGGAACTCTTAGATCAAGCATTGGGGCCAACTAAATTGATGCAGCTAACTCGCATTTGCGTTACATGGAGAAGAAAACCACCAATTAGCCCGACTGTGATGGAACTCTAACCCAGGATCCCTCTACCACTGAGGATATTTCACGTCACCAGCGTGGTCGGTGCAAGCCGCATGCGGAATTCGTATCAACCAGTCAGGAGTGCACAACCTGCGGCCCGCTGTAGCACATGAACATAATAAAAACTCTATTATAATTTTTTCCCCAAAAAAGAAATCAAAAATTTTGAATAGCGCATTTAAATTTTTGAAAGCGAAGAATCCCGACAATTTTAATAATGCGAATTTCGAATTTTAGTAATTATTTTTAAAGCTCAGTCCATTTCATAATTAATCCTAGAGTTTTAAATCGCTCTTTCAGGGGTTATAATCGGATTTCCACGCGTTTCCTAAAATTCCGATCTTTTTAACATAACGACTCGCGACTTTCGAATCTTGAAATAGTAATCACTAAGGCTCGGATTTTGATGACATTTGCATTTTTTTGCATTTTTTGCATCTTTGAACATTTTTTGTCTTTTAGAGCATTTTTTAGATATATAGGGCATTTTTCTTTAAATTTTGGGGCGTTTTTTGCATTTTAATGCATTTTTTAAAGTTTTTTGTTAATTTTTTCCCAATTTTTACTATTTTTTTATCAATTTTCATTATTACACTGGCTTCCAAACAATGAAGAAAATCTATGGAATATTAACAGGTGAAGCAAAATCTTTTCAAATTGAAGAAGAATTGTAAGTAAGTGAGACCGTCTTTTTCAAGTACGCACCTATAACATCAGTAGACGTTGAAAGAAGCTTCTGCAGGAATGAAAATTTACTTTCAGACAAGAGACGCTCGTTTACATTTCAAATTATCAAAAAACATTTAATAATCCAATGTAATTCTGATATTTAGTAATATTATGAGATGGAAGTTGTTATATCCA